TTATAATTTATATTTAATATTATTAATCTCGCCTTGTTGATTTTTTCACTCCTATCGTGTGGTATATTTTTCATAATACGATGTTTTACAACTTAGTTGTTTGTCATTTCTTTTCACTTCTTTTCGATCAAAACTGTCTTCGTCTCGAAGACCTCTGGCAGCCATGCCTTCCTCCACATCCTGCAACCATCTCTTTCTTGGACGTCCTCTTTTTCGCCCTTCTATCGGTTGATGAAAAAAGGTCAATGGTGGCAATCGGTCCTTCTCCATTCTCTATAAATGGCCATAAAATTTCAACCGTTTTATTTCTATGTCAAAGTTGTTTCTTCGTGAACATTCCGCCTGATAGTTTTGAGTGACGCTTCCAAAAAGAAATGATGTGGCATTTTTTATTTTTGTTTGCAGACTTACCTGCTTGTTCCATAACACAGAATTTAGTGTTTCAATTAATTATTCAGGTACCCATATGAATATTTAAACAAATTCTAAATGATGGGAATTATAAATTGAATAGATTGAAATGGAAAAAGATATTGTTAGTGTTGTGCTAAAAGTAGAAAATTATGAGCGATCAATATCATCATAATCAACGTAATTATTGTAAAACGAACAATATAATACTATATGTAAAAATAAATTTATATAAATGTATATGAAAGTTTATATTGCATATTTTTTACGTATCGATGTATTTGAAAAAATGTTAACAAAGCAATTGTGTGTATATATATATATATATATATATATATATATATATATATATATATATATATATATATATATATATATATATTTACAAAATTTCTTCAATCGATCTTTGAGTATTATATTTTAACATAATTATTTAATTGGAAATAAGGTCACTTAATAATTATTCAGCAAACTACTAAATGTTCATTGCTTCTGCTGTTTATTCAACGTTTCGATCCCGGTTTTTTTTACTTTCCTACCAATACTAGGTAAGGAAAGTATTGCGATCGGGTCAAATTTCCGATATGCGGTATTCGACGGATTTATACGTTTTAGTCCGAAAAACATATTAGCTATTGGTCTGTCTGTCTGTGACAAGATTTTCTCGGGAACTAGAGAACTGATTTTGTTGCTTTTTTTTGTTATTTTGTAGGGTTTTGACTACAAATTGTGACAGAAATTGGGTGCTCCATGAGCAATAAATGAAAAACATGTTTGTCTGTAGACTGTAGCGCAAAAACGGCTCTAACGATTTTGATGAAACTTTCCTATAATGTTCTAATATTTGTCCTTTCAATTTTCGTAAATGGATTGAATTCCAGAAAAAAATCAGTAAAATAAATTATAAAGAACAGAAAAATGTTTTGGGGTCTAACTCGCTAAGTATATATTCTATGGTAAAACGAAACACTGTTTAGCCTGTTTTTTTTTTTTTGTTTTTTTTTAAAGGTAATGAAATTCCCTACAAAGTCATATAAAAATCATTCATTTCGGAAAACTATTAACGAAGTTACAGCTGTTCAATTTCCAATGTAAGATACCTGGTGTCAGAAAGGGATGAATGAGAGAAAAAATTTAACTAAGTGGAAGTAAGAAAATCTGTTGCCTACATCACACAAGCTTCACTATTTCCTCTACTTTTAACAGAAATTATTGAATGACAAAATTAGGCTATGGCAAAAAGTTTTTGATCAGCAATATTAGAGGGTAATGAAATTTTTACACTGAGCCGGTTTACATTGCTTTAGTTAATCATATAAATCGTACTCAAATCTTTTCTTTGATCAATTTTTAGGAAAATAAATCTTTTTTTTTTTTAACTTGATTCTTCAACTCAAACCTGTCAGAAGTTCCGACAATCATCGAGTGTGATGTCAAGATGTAGAGATTGGTCTTGGAATAGGCGTGAGGGAGAGGAGTACCCAGCGGCGTCCTTCCTGTCTTGACCGTAATGTTTATAGTTAGTGGAGGAGATACCTCATCCAGCTTCTTTTAAGCCTCCTTCGGGTGTTATCGGGCATGCTAGTTGTGGCCATGCCTCGAATCAATGAGTTTGTATGTCCGTGTAAGTTACTATGAAATCGTTTGTAGTATGTTCGTATGTGGTCGTTAACTGTTGGCATCTGTAAGTCTTTATGTAGAGTAATGTTACTGACGTACCAGGGAGCTTTGGTGATAGTCCTGAAAGTTTTAGATTGAAAAGTCTGTAATTTACGTATGTGAGTCTTTTTGGCTGTCCCATATATCTGTAAAGCGTAGATCCAAATAGGCTTGAGTAGGTAAGTATATGTATTCAATTTCTGTCTAAGTTTTAATTTCGAATTTCTTGCAAGGAGTGAGTACAATAGGCGTAGTCTTAATTTAGAGTTTTTGTTTTGTTTTTAATATGTTGGCCCCATGTCATTCTTCTGTCAAAGGTCAGTTTAAGATATTGAACTTCGTCTGTCTGAGGAATTTGGATATTGTCAAGGTAAATAGGGGGGGGAAGTAGGAAAATAAATCTACTTCATTTTTTTTTTGTTTCTTCATGGACACATGTAAAGATAAAAAATCTTTTCTGAAATAGGTAGGAAAGTCGTTTGAGTGGACATACCAGATTTTTTTTTTTTGTAGTCTTACCTGATTGTTCTATAACACAAGAATTTATTGTTCTAATTAATTACTTGAGTACCCATATAAATAATTCTACAAATTCTAAATGATGGGATTGATAAAACTACAAATTCTAACCACTCTCTCCGTTTTTAAAATCTAAATGTATCGAATTTTGATTCAGTAGCATTACGATACCGATATTTTGCAACTGGAATCTATCACTGCTATAATTTGATACGATGTATTTAACAATCTCCATGTTGGATTAGCAATTATATCTTACATGTTACCACAGTAACCCAATATGAGGACTGTGTAATGAAATATCATTCGGTCATTACGAGATCAATGGCGCTGACGATAGGATCGCTGACTAGATAGGCGTAGACTTTCCATTCTTCTTGGGGGAGGGAGGGTGTGGATCCCTCTCAAACCTCCAAAATAGTCTTGGGAGTTTATATTATGTATAGAAATTATGAGTGATCATTAACATAATCAATATAGGGCGGGGTGGCCGAGCGAACTAACGCGTGTGCAAAGCACCGCCGTTGCCTGACAACCTCATAACCGAAGCTGCTATAGATGAAAAAATAATTAAAAGTAATAATTAATTAAAATAAGAGTTCGCGTCCCGGTGTCGGAGGGGCTTTTCACTCTGGCATTAATCACCTGTCCTATCCACCAGCAGGGGAAAACCAACAGCCTAAAAGGAGAGGAAGGGATGGACCAAAAATTAAGTTATATAAGATAGGGGAGAGTGGTGAAAAAAAATATAAATAATAATTTCTAAAAACTAACATTATTTAACGTAAAACACATGTTTTAAAGGAAATTAAATGAAATTTTCTTACTTAATGTATACTTTCAAATATTTTTTTTTAAGTTTGAAAAAGTATTTAAAATCCATGGATTCAAGGCAATGACACTAAGGTACTATTTCATTGTACTTGTGTGAAAGAAGAAGTGAAATATAAAAATATATTATGGATACATTTATAACCTTAAATATATTTACTGTAGTTTAATAACTCTAGACCTGATATTATATATTGTAATGTACACCTTTATTGGAAGTTAGTAAAAGGGTTTAATAAATTAATGTTTAACAATTAAAAGACAAGCTAATCTAGTTCTACTAGTGCAGGGAAAAGAAAATGGCTGCTCTGTAGTTTCCCAAGAAGGAAAATCCCAAAGAGGAGAGGGAAAAAGGTTTTTGCTTTTGGCAAGCAGTTGTTGGTGTTTGGGTTCCAATGGGTAAAACCCAGTAATAGTATTACCATTTTGGAAGTTGTGTTTGACAGAACATTGGAAAGCATTTGAAGACAAATGAATTTAGTGCAATAAAGGAAGAAACAGTGTATATAGAAAAAAGCTTAGCTTGCCAATCCATATTGACTTTATTTTAAAATCAAACAGTGTTTAGTATAGTTAATTTAAGTTTGTCTGATTGTCAGTAACCCACACCTGAGATAAATAAATATATTAATACTCTTATAATTTCGTTTATTATTATAACAACCTCTTGTTTCTTTTGGAAGTATCCTAATGGATAAAGTGATCTTCCACGGTTATATTATTATTATTTGTAAAATAAAAGAGGGATGTTACAATATCTAAATAATTAGGTATCTATCGTCGGTTTTTTTTTTTCCAAAAATGCTCATGTAACCTTTTAGAAAATTAAATTAGTGAATAATTTGATGAATTTTCCCTTTGTTATATTCCAACAGTATCCACTTCCAATTAGTGTGACAACGTTTGACCTGTCTATGTCAGACAATGCAAATCTCTTAATTCTATTTTAGTAAACTTTGCAATGGAAAAGAACAGTTTAATAACTAATAGTCGTACAATCCATAATCAACGGATCTTACAACCCATAATTAACCGGTGATATAATAAATAGGACTTTTGTTATTTTAAAGGTATTTATGATTTGTTTGCTGCAATCTTTTAGCTTTAGCTCAGTTAAAAATGCAATTCAAAAATTTTATAACAGCCCAACATAGCCAGAAAATAATTTCTATTCAAAGTTGAGCGGTAAGTGAAAGTTGTGTATTGCGCGCACCAGATTTTTTTTTCTAACGAATAATAAATAAATTAATTATTATCTAAAAGATAATATATTTTTATTTATTCATTATTCCAATAAAATTTGCCCAAGTGTGGCCATTACCTGCAAAGCCCAATTAATATTTATTTAGGGTTTAAGTGATTGGTCACTATGAGACAGCACTGGTTGGACAGTAGAGGTATATCTCTCAACAACAAAGTAGATTGAATTATTCACTTAACTCGATTAAAAAAAACAAAAAACTCACTTATATCTCTCTGCTTCTAGGGTCCAAGTAAATACTAGTAGATGTACAACTAATGTGTGCTAAGTTAGAGGTGAACTGGTAACATTCTTCTTCAACCAATGTTGATTGTTGCAGGTTCGAGGGCTGGCTGTCTGCAAACATGGCGACGAACCTGATCGGGCTGTGGAAGCTGGCCGAGGAGTACAACGAGGTTCACAAGATCCCGGAAGTGGTGGCATTGGCCAACGGAACTTACGACCTGGTCTTGGTCGAGATGTTCAACACGTACCTCTTCTACGGCATCGCCTACAAGACAGGAGCTCCCATCATCGGTCTCAGCTCTTGCAGCATGTTGCCATGGTTTTCCGACAGTATGGCCATACCCAGCCAGACAGCTTACGTACCCAACAGCTTAGGAGGTATAGTAGTAGGCTTTACCTATTAATATACTGACAGGCAAAAAATTCCACCCACTTGATTTTTTCATCTAAAAATATTTCTGCTTTGGATTGGTCTATTGTTTTTAATGAATAAATAGATAATATTTTTCTTTTTTTTTTCAATTAGGAATGTTAATATTGAGGACAATAACCCGTAATCCTTAATTCAATTAAATGATTCTAGATTCCAATGTTTACTTTCTATGGAATCAAAGGTTTATTCAGTATCATTAGTTCAGTGCCGTTTCTTGCAGCACATTTCTTAGTCTCTGGCTTTTAATTTTTTCAATGTTAATTTTAAAAATGCTTCTTAGTGCTGAGGATGCTGCGCGTGGTGTGGCACTTATTGATGATGGACGTTCCATTAGATATGCAGCTAATGCCATCGGAGTTCCATATGAAACTTTACGAGACGCCGTCAGGCGTTTTCGGAAAACTGGTTTTTACAATAGAAGGCCCGGTTCTGGATGGCCTAGGGTAACAGATCCACGTGATGAACGGTTTTTGACTTTGAGAATTTTACGAAACCGGCACCTTACCGTTGTTCAAGCGATTGTTCATGCAAATTTCTGAACGTACCGCTCGGAGAAGATTAAATGAGTATGGATTAATGGCTTTTCGTCCAGTAAGAGGTCCACAGTTGACCAGAACTCACAGAGTAACACGGCTGGCTTTTGCTCGAGAACACAGCCATTGGACTATGGATGAATGAAGTGCTGTACTTTTTACAGATGAGTTGAGATTCGCTCTTCAATCTCCAGGCGGGCGTGAAAGGGTGTGAAGAAGAAGAAACAAAAGATATACAGCCTGTAATTTTTCCCAGAGCCAACTTTTCCAATGTGGTTCCTAAATGGTGTGGGCTGGGATTTCAATGGAACGTGGCGCAGAATTGATTGTTGTTCGTGGAGGGTCTTTGACGGCCATTCGCTATGTAGGTGAGATTTTGGAACCTCATGTGTTGCCTATCCTCAACGAAATCGGCGATCATTTTATTCTAACGCAGGATAATGCACTCCCACATGTCACCCGCATAGTGCAGACGTTCCTTCAACAGAACAATATTGAGGTTTTAGCCTGGTCAGCATGTTCTCCAGATTTGAACCCCATTGAGCATTTATGGGATAACCTCGGAAGACGAATAAGAGCGCGTGCAACACTTCCTGATACACTGCAGGACCTTGAAAGGGCTCTTCGGGAGGAATGGGCTATCCTCCAGCAAAGGGATATTTCCCGACTGATGGAAAGTATGCCCGAGGCGTCTTCAAGAAGTAGTGAAGGCAAGAGGAGGAAACACGCGCTGCTAAACGATGATGTAATTAATTTCTTTTAGAATAATAATGGTTCTTTTTTCAATTTTTTTTTCTCTAATCTTTCCTACCCAATCAAATTTTGATTATTAAAGGTAAAAAAGATTATAAAATTCCATAAATACAAAGTATTATCTACAAATACCATGTATTATATACAAATACATTTTGTTTTACAAGTGGGTGAAATATTTTTAGATGAAAACATGAAAAAATCAAGAGGGTGGAATTTTTTGCCTGTCAGTGTATAAATAAATTCATTTTTGAATATTCAAATTATATTTATTTCTTAATAATTATGTTGAATTTTACACATAATATAAACTCCACCATTTATTTTTTTCGGTCCCTGTCCTCCTCCCAATCAAAATCGAAAGTCAGATGATTGAATGCAAGATTGAACCTAAGACCCTTCATGTGGCACAGGTTTTATTTTTTTATACACTTTATCATTGCATAAAAAAAAAAAAAAATTATGCTCTCAATTTATAAAATTTGACTAAATATTAAAATTTAAAGAAAACCTCATTTTCTTAGATAATGAGCTAATGAACTCATCTTTTTCAGGCTGGCCTCACGAAATGAACTTCTTCCAGCGAGTGATAAATACCGTAGAATACTGGCTTGAAAGGGTATTCCACAAGTTGGTTATTGACAGAAATGCACAGACTATTGCAGAACGCTACCTGGGACCTCTGCCACCTCTTTCAGAAATTGCTGCAAACACCTCTCTTCTTCTTCTTCAATCACATTTCAGCTTCCTTGGCCACAGTGCTTTTCCTCCTTCTGTTGTAGAGGTTGGAGGGATAAATCTTAAACCTATCAAGCCTCTAGCACATGTAAGAAAATCATGATATACCTAATACAAATTTCTGATATATGAGATTCACTTTTCCCTAATTTTTTTCCTCCTTATAAAAAATGTTTGACAGGGATGATGTTAATTATAACTCCAAACATTTTAATAAAATATTTAATAGAAGTTCAACCCTACTGTTTTATTACTATAATGGTTTGTAAAACCATGACTTGTGATTTTATCTTAAATTGTTGGGAGGTATTGAGAGCCTTCTTGTTAGGCATCCCAGACCAATGCTTCATCTCGATTTCTTATAACTGCTTCATGGTGGAACCAAGCTTGTTATTTTAAAAAATCCCTCGAGCTAAGACAATCTCCATTCCAAAACCAACACCTCTGATAGGTATACCAATGTTGTTTTGGCATTTGAATATTACACACAAATCATTCACAATCTGTATAAATTTAATACTGCAATTGAGTTTTATATATTATGTAATATATTAGTTTTATTAACAAAGGAACCATTGTCATAAATAATAAAAATGTTAAAAATTACTTTCTTCTTTACGATTCCTACACATAATTAATATTAATGTTTCAGGATATAGACAGGCTACTAAATAATTCAAATGGTGCAATTTACTTCAGTATGGGATCAGTTTTGGTTGGTAAATCTATGAGCGAGAAAAAGAAACAGATGTTTGTCAATGTGTTGGCTGCAACCGGGAAAACAGTTTTATGGAAACAGGAAGAAACCATTCATAACAAACCAAACAATATTATCACCAAGCCTTGGTTTTCCCAAAGAGATATTCTTCGTAAGTATTCTATTAATTTTTTGGTACATTAACTTTTAATGAAGTATTCATTTCTAAAATATATATGCAGGTTATAATTATAATTTAAACACCAACATTTAGCTCATTGACTATATGATTATTTTATATATATATATATCGGGGGATATATATATATATATATTAAGGGATGAGGGGAATATATATATATTAAGGGATGAGTAGCGTCTTAAGGTTTTTGAAAATAAAGTATTGCGTAGAATATTCCGACCGAAGAAGGATGAGTTAACTGGAGAGTTCAGACCGTTACACAACGTCGAATTGCGTGAACTGTATCCGGGTAATATAATTGAGGTAATTTCATCGTGGCGAATCAAATGAGCTTGTAAAGTTGTTGGGCTTAGTAACGAGAGAATTCCTAAAAGATTAATATTTGCTGTGCCGAATGGTAAGTGTCCGAGGGGTAGACCGAAGCGAAGGTGGGAAGATTGCATTAAAGCCGATCTGAAGGGACTGGGTTTGGACGGCGAACGGTGGAGGGAGGTGTGTAATAAGCGATTGGTGGTGTCGGCATCGAACCTTCGGGTTCGCTAAGCCTTTTATTATTATTATTGTTGTATATATATATATATATATATATATATATATATATATCAAATAATTTTAATTGACGAGCAAGTAAACAAGCATGAACTCCAAATATTCTTATCCGCTTTTGAATACTGTTTTCTTGGATACTCCTCGATAATAATTAAATTAATTAAAAATAATTTGAAAATAAGCATGATACAAATGTTTAGTTGTCTTAGAGTCATCATTTCAATAATACACCTTGAAATAGAAAGTATGTTGTTGGCTATTTAATGGTTCCATCCCTACTTAAATTCAATCTTATGGTGTTGTAACACTCTTCTACTTTCCAATCTCCGCCCATCTCTTAATAATTTAAAAAACAAATAGTATAGCGTACTATATTTATTATATACTTTACCCTCAAATTGGCTCATACCTATGTGCAATTTAGACAATTTGTTTAGGTAGGAGCCCTAAAGATCTTAAAAATGTAATAATAGTAATAATAAAAGGCTTAGTGAACCCGAATGTTTGATGCCAACAACCCAGTCCCTTCAGATCGGCCTTAAAGCAATCTTCCCACATTCGTCTTGGTCCACCCCTCGGACGTTTACCATTCGGGACAGCAAATATTAACTATTTAGTGATTCTTTAGTTACTATGGCCAACAACTTAACATGGCCATTTTATTCAGCACAACGTAAACACCTGAAGTATAATAAACCAGAAACAGTTCACTCGATTTGGCGTTATGTAACTATCAAAATTCCCTGCTTGACTCATCCTTCTAAGGTCCAAATATTCTATTGTAAATAACCTATTAAGAGTTTATTGTGAATAACCCGCTTTGGCGGCAATTGTAAATATTCCTTCCATTTATTGGGGGACTAAGTTATTTACTCTCGTGAATTTAATTTTCTTAAAACAAAACCCCGGCTCTGGATATAGACTTTTTGAGGGTGTTTAACTGTCCTTGGGAATTCGGGAACCATGCTTTTGTGACACTGAGTGACAAGAAATAATAATAATATATATACATATATGAAATGTGGGACTGAGTAAATACACTTTGAATGAATTGACTCACATGGTGTGTTATTCTTTAATTGTAAGGCATATAGGACAACTAAATAAAAGGACTATTCACTCCTGTATAAATAATTTATTTATACTGTACAAAATAATTTATTTCCACAACTGTAATCAATTTAATCTATTTAAATCTTATAACTGTAGGCTTGATATTCTTAATCTTCAGTGTCATGGGCTTCTCTTCTCAGGTAACCTCCTTCCTTCCTCTTCTCTCTCTAGGCCTCAAGTCTCATTAGTTCTTTGGCACCCTTCTCCAGCTGCTGCCATCTACTGGCCCTTTTCCAGACTTCTTCCTTCTTCGTCGATTGTTTGTCGATATGCGACTTTTCAATGAACAATTCGTCTACTGCACAATTGAGTACAATTCATAGTGCAACCTTACATTCCTACTTATTCCTTCTAATTCCCTCACTCAATGTCACATAAAGGAGTAAATACTGGAGGCCATCTACTACACTATGCAATACTTTATTTTCAAAAACCTTAAGACGTTGCTCATCTTTTAATACCTTGAAAATGCAATAATTTTTTTTTTTTTTTTATTTCTTAAAGACATTTACAACTGTATTAAATAAATACATCTAGTAAATTAGAACATAATTTATATAATGACATGAAAAACACTTGCTGAGTAACTACCCAATGGTAGCACTCTTATGATATGTTTACATTAGGAGATCACGGGGCCATCTTCTTTTCAAACGCCTCGGAGGGTTATCAGGAATTGAAGAGGAAGCAAGGTTAGAAACGAGAGGGTTGAGATGATTCTGAAGTTTATTATGGAAGGTTAGGTATCTGGATTGGGCCAGATCTGAAACAAAAGGAACATTAAGGTCATTATGGATGGTTTTATTTGTAACAAAGTAGGGAGCATTGAGGATTTTACGAAGGATTTTGGATTGTAAGGATTGGATACGAGAGGAATTCAATGGTTTAGTGGAGCCCCATAGCTCAACTCCATAAGTCCAAATAGGCTGTATTATAGTCAAGTATATGAGTCTTTTGTAATTAATTGGAAGATTAGAGCGTTTGTCTAGTAAGTGCTGAAGTAATTGGAAACGTCGAGCGGTTTCTTGTCGTTTCAGTCTAGTATGAGGATTCCAAGTTAGTCGTTTGTCCAGGTGGAGTCCTAGGTATTGGATTTGCTCAACAGGGATAAGTGGAGTATTGTTAAAGGAAACTGTAGGACAGGAAGTTGTTGGTTTACGACGAAGGGTAAAGGTAATTTGGTGGGATTTATTGGAGTTTATTTTAATTCTCCAGTTTTGACACCATTCTTCTAGATTTATGATGTGTGATTGAAGCATTTGGGATGCAATTGCTGGGTCATTATTTACTAACAGGATACATGTGTCATCGGCATATGTGGTGATGACAGCGTTGGGATAGGTAGGGATGTCAGCTGTATAAACTGTATAGAGGATAGGGCCTAGGATACTACCTTGAGGAACACCAGCGGACTGGGTGCAATAATTTAAAACACTGTCATTCTGCATCTGTGGAGCAAAGGTGGAACTTCTTACACCCCTCATCTTTTTATCAGGAAAGATTAGATTCATGGTTGATGGTTCAGCTGAATCTTAAAATGTTTTTCTTGTAGTAAAATCTCCTAAGAAAATTAATTAAACAATAAAGGAACCAACGATCCAAGTATTTAACAGAGAAGATGAAGAAGATATGAGAGGAAACTCCGTACCTCAACAGAGCCAGCCTACCACAAATGCATAGTTAAGCAGGTACCAGATTGATTTCGCCCCCAGGAAAAGGAACAAATATAATCAATGCTTGAAACGGGAAAAAAACTATTTTTTATTGTGGAAGTTTTTAAGTTCTTTTGGAACTAGAACATTTTCTTTTGCAACTTTTCAAGTAAAGGTTTTATTGAAAAGTTCTTTTGATTTTGCTAAAAAGTCTATGTACAAAATGATTTTTATTTTTTGCTATTCATAGAAACTACACATCAGATTCACGGGTAATTCATTTAGGACCAATTGTAACTCTTATCTAAGCCTATTTTCTGTTTATTTTTCATTTAACAGCATTTTTTTTAAGAGCTTAAATAAATTTAAGTTAAACTTTTATCATAAACCTGGAACTTTATTACAAAAATCTTCTTTAAAACTTTTATTTTAAGAATTTTATTCCTAAAAAATTTCACTGAAATTGTTTAAATGGATCTTTTTTTAAAAAATTCCATTAAAGTTTCAACCGTCTGAATATGAATGAATGAATCATACTAAAAAAATTAAATTAACCAACTAACCATATTTAATCCCAAATTTTGGCTTATTCCGCTCACTCAAATATTACTTGTGCTATTATATAATACAAAATTTCATCCACATGTTTGTTTCTAAACAAACCGCAAGTCACAAGGCAAATAGCTCTCACTCTATTTAGACACACTGTATGATTAGCAATAGAAATCTGCCGATTTTTTAAATTAAAGGCTACTGCAGGTATATTATAATGTACACCTTTATTGGAAGTGAGTAAAAAGGTTTTAATAAATTAATGTTGAACAATTAAAAGGCAAGCTAATCTAGTTCTACTAGTGCAGGGAAAATAAAATGGCTGCTCTGTAGTTTCCCAAGAAGGAAAATCCCAAAGAGGAGAGGGACAAAGGTTTTTGTTTTGGTAAGCAGTTGTTGTGTGGCTGCAGTGAAAAGAGCATAGGAGAAGTGATCCTGGCTCCAGTAGGTAAAATCCAGTAATAGTATTACCATCTTGGAAGTTGTCGTTTGGCAGGGAGACTAGTTGTTTGGAATTACAAGAGAGACGATGAGTAAAAAAAAGTGTCACCATTTAGGAAGTTGTGTTTTGGCAGAAGATCGTAAATCATTTGAATACAAATGAATCTAGTGCAACAATGGAAGAAACAGTATCTATAGAAAAACGGTTAGCTTGCCGATCTACATTTGACTTAACTTTAAAATCAGTGTTTAATTTTAGTTATCTTCTTATTTTCTTTTTTTATTAGGAAACTTACGTTTATAATTTTTTCATATTTAAGGCAATAATACTTCCAATTTTCTTCAATTTTTTAAAAATTACATTTGTTGTCTCTTACGTTTTGGGACAATTTTCTCATCATCACAGCAATCTTTATCTTTACTTTCTTTTTTTTTAAGTGGCACCATTTGTCAAAAAACAAATATTTGTCACATTTTTTAAAACTAAAGATAGCCAGATGTTGAGTAGTGTATTAATGAATATGTAAAGATGTGTAACACCAAAAAATAGTTTTAAAAAATATGACAAATATTTGATTAAGAGACAACAAATGTAATTACAAAAAATTTGAAGAAACTTGTAAGTATTATTGCCTTAAATATTAAAAAATGTTTAATTTTAATATAAATAGTGTAAGAAATAATAGTTTATCTGAGAGTTTTGATCTGATTGTCAGTAACCCACACCTGATATAAATAAATATATTAATACTCTTATAATTGTATTTATTATTTAATAACCTCTTATTTATTTAGGAAGTATCCCAACGGTATAAAGTGATCTTCTGAGGTTATATTATTATTATTTGTAAAATATTAGAGAGCTGTTACAATATGTATAAAATTATATATATTTTATTTTTATCCATTTTCAATTAAAACCCATTAAAGTTTCTTTGAACAATGGTAAAATTTTAAAAATTAGTTAAAAATATGGAATTTAGCATGTTACTCACATACGAAGTTACTACATCATTTATTCCATTGTTTTTTTTTTTCTCCTTGGAAAGCTCATTTCATAGCTGAAGTATCATTTATAAAACAAGGTTTTTTTTTTTCTCATCACACGCCAGAGCCCGCAGAACTTGAGTGGAGGTGTCAATGCGGCCTGTGGAACTTAGTCGAGATCTCAATGTGGCCTGTGGAACTTAGTCGAGATCTCAATGTGGCCCGCCGGTCAAAAAGTTTAGAGACCCCTGCACTAGAACACAAATTGATCATGTAAGAATTATTGTTACAATCATACGACATTACATGTATTTTTTTTTTTAGAACACCCAAAGATAGAATTGTTCATATCACACTGCGGCAACCTCGGTCTAACAGAAGGCGTGGATGCAGGAGTTCCCGTTATATGTTTACCCATGTATGGTGATCAGCACAGAAATGCCAGAGCTGCTGAAATGAGTGGTTTTTCTATCTTCCTTAATTACCAATCTTTGACTGAAGATACTCTTAGAGCTGCTATAAATGAAATACTCACAAATAAAAGGTTATTATATTTTTATATATTTCTAAATACTGTCATTAATCATAAATTTTTAATCAAATAATGATAATAAAAAATAGTTTGCATAAGTTAATAGGCATTTTTATTTATAATCAGATATCAGATTTAAATGCTGTAAAAAAACAAAACAATTAGAAAATTTTAAGCAACAGAAAAAATTTCAGTGTGCCTCCTAGATTTCTATGTAACTTTTTTTAGTGAATCTGAAAATATTGGAGTACTACAAATATTAGGAGAAGGAGTCAAATAAATACTAAATTTTAAAAATTAATATTTTTAATTATTACGCTGAAGTTTCAACCCACCTTGCTATTAGAGGCCAATCCGGAAGTTTGCGAAGTCCAAAACAAGTGTTATCTTATCGATTTCATTCTAATGAACACAGAAAAATAATTTTAGCTCCAGAAAGTACCAATATTGAAACATTAAATAATAGAAAAAGTTTAATTTACATGTGAAACATGTAAAACTATTTCGATAAAACTTCAAAGCTATGAATGGCCGAATTTTCAGAAATATTTTTTTAATTTTTTGATTTTCATAAAAATTAGGATTGAATTCTTTCTTGGAGTTGAGAATCTCAGTTCCTTGTTCGAGAAAATATTAGTTTCCCTCCAAAATCTCTATTAATGAAATTTTTGAAATTGGGCCTCAAATATTGTAATTTTTATAGAAATCATTAATAAGATATAAATTTTGATTTATTTTATAAGTTTATTTGAAAATCATTAATAAAAATATCTTTCATCATGTCTTCAATAATCTAAATTTTGGGCTGAGGGCTTACAGGTTTGGTCACTTTGGAGGGTTTGAAGTATAAGAAATGATTTAATTACACACATAAAAAAAAAATAATAACCTGCACCACTACAACCCGTGAAGGGTACTATTTAGGGAAAGTACTGTTTCAAGGACAACAGTTGTGCAGGGAGGGGATCGGGACAGGATCATGCTCAACCACCAGGTTTTTCCCCATAATTAATTATATAATTAGGGGTACCCACTTTATAGAGGCTGGGTGTGCGCCAGGAGGGTCTCTCTAGCCCAGGGTGGCCCCACGGTCAATGAAACAGAATAAATAAATTTTCTGCCATGAGCGGGGATTCGAACCTGGGACCTTGGACATCGGAAGCTTAGTGCCCTACCACTGAGCTACCCCGCTTCATATAAAGATACATATATTCATAATTAAATGAAATACATATTTTATCTGATAACAGGCACTAACTGAGCACTGTGGCATGGGTCGCCCCCACCACTAAATCTCTAATTTAAAAGTATTACAACTTACGGGAAATTCAAATTCAAAATGGCAAATCAATAAAGTCACAACATATTATTTAAAAAAATATATTTTTCCTTTTTATCACTATTCAATCCTAAGAATTGGTAAACTGGTTTAAGTTGGTCAGTTAAACAGGATTCTACAGTGTTTAGACTATGTTTTTTAAGAATGTTATTGTTAACCATAATGGTGAAATTTTATGTTATGAAATACGATATATTTAAGAAAGTTATCATGAGAATTAATTCAATTGTATTTTGCAGGTACAAGGAAACAGCTAAGAAAGTACAAGCAGCCTTTAGAGATCGCCCAATGTCGCCATTGGATACCGCCGTTTACTGGGTTGAATATGTTCTTAAGCATGGCCCTGTGACACGACCACGATACACTCAACTGCCCCCTTGGCAAAGGGAAGGCGTTGATGTTGCGGCCTTCTTATTCCTCATTGTACTTTTATCAGCTTATATTGTGATAAAAATTTTCATATCTTATTTTAATAGTAAGAGTTATATAAAGAAAGAAAAACAAAGTTGAAGAACACAGTTTCTATTAAGTTGTTTAAAAACTTTTTTCATAACATCCTATGGATGAAATGAAAATTCGAAGACACCATACTATTTTTGTAATTAGTAAGTGACTGTGATTTTTTTTACTTTACCCTGAAAAGTAAAAATGTTAAATAATTCCATACATCTTCAGACTTATTGATAGAGTACCAATATTTATTTTCTTATAATATTCCATTTTTAATAGAAATAATTTAGGTAATGTAAGAAGCTGTATAAATTTTAAATGTTTCATTTTTTTAAAAAAAGATGCGTTAAGGACTTCTCACAGATATTTTTTGTTAAATTTTGGTTTTGTATCTAATTTGTTTTATACAATTGTATAATGTTATATATTATGTTTATCTTCCCATAAAATGTCTATTACATTTAACTTTGTTACAATTTTATCTAAACATATATTTAAAAAAATAATATATATATAAAAACTACAGAAAAAAAAAATTGTATTTAAAACAAAATTAAATATATTTTTCCAAAAGAGGTTGTTTCCTTTTTCCATATACACACTAAAAATTTTTGTTAAGAAGTTAAAGTTAGTTTGAGGTAACTGGGTTTTAAATATGTAGGAATTCACCATTAAAAAAATTTAGATCAGGATTTTGTAATTTTATTCTCCTAACCAGTAGGTTGGGCATAGCTAAGGAAATTTTTATCTTTTGTGTAATGATGTAGAGATGGTTGACCTGATATAATATGAGAAGGAGTTGATCGGGGGGGGGGGGGGGGGGGGAGGGAGGGGGAGGTGCGGTCAAATTGATAATAAATTAAACAAGTAGAATTATTTAATTTTTGCCGACGTTTCGACTCACTTTGCAGGTCTTCATCAGGGCGTAGGATGTAGCACTGCGGGAGGCAAAAGGTCGAAATGTCGGCAAAAATTAAATAATTCTACTTGTTTAATTTATTATTAATTTGACCGTACCCCCCGATCAACTTCTCATTTTATCTTTTTTGGTTTATGCCGTAATTATTGTAGTTATAAACTTCTCTGTTGGACATTTAGAATCTCTTGGGGGTCTCTTTTTTTCTATTTAACACTTTAAAATTGAAAAAATATTCAGTTATGCAGGTATAATCTCCATTTAAAAAAAACACCTTTTTGCACTAGTGATGAACACCCCGAAATTCAATTGTTGTAGTAATGGACTGGGGGTCATTACCAGTAATGGACATACCTCGGAAAAATTCTAAATTTTTATTTAACTATTAAGATAAGATAAGATAAATGTTCAACTTAGCAAAACTGTTAGCAGGAAGATATGAAACAAACTGATCTCAAGAGCACTATAGAAACAACAATGATAGGCATTTTAAAATTTTCTTTTGGGAACTTTGTTCATACAGTTGTCAATAGAGGCATTGTTCTTCAATCTAGAAAAAACTGGAACCTTTAAATCAACAAGGAAGCTTATTGTTTACATTTAAAGTCCAACCTGTCCATCATTGGGTCCCCTGTTCATAAGGTCCCCAAATCTAATATTTGGGGGAGGGACTTATTTCATTTTAATAATTACTTTGAAAGAACAAGTTAGAAATTATATGAAATGTTGTTTTATTGGTCTCTGAAAGTCTGTTAAAAAAGACAAACAAAATGTAATTACAGGAACTATAATGCTTTTAGGGATAATTAGTAGAGAAAAAAATTGGGATTGTTTAAGTATTTAGCTTAGAAAAACAAATATGGCAAACAAAATAATAGTTTTCGTTTTGGGAGCTTCAGCTCAAAATCTCCCTCCTCATCTCTCTTCAAACACTTTCGACACTGGTGCTTCAAACACTATAAAGAATAAAGCTGTTTGTAAACTAAAATTATGATCATACCAACTCTACTGTTGGTGAGAGTGCATATAAACTAATAGTATATTAAATTGATGTTTGTAAACCATGACTTGTGTTTGTATACTACCTAGGCAATGAGTTAAAAAGGTCCTTTTGTTGATTTAGTTAGTCAAAATTTCTTTGGCTCGCTCACATCAGTTGGTTTAACCATTATAGTCCAGTTAATGACTGCTCGAAAAGGGGATATTGAAGGAAATGGCAGGGACACAATTTTTGACTTTGGGATGCTTTTTGGACTGGTAAGTAGGTAAACTTACTAAAAGTCCGTGGGATGTGGGAGAGCGTCTAATAGGTCACTTCTTTTTCGGGTTTTGTCTTATATCAGGAAAACTATCCATTACATTGACAATAACGTTCCATCCGAAATTAAAGCTGATAAAATTTACAATATAATTGATTATTTACCTTTTTTTTTTCTATCTCACTTTTAGTTTTTGAAATATCAGCTCTCAACTATCGCTAATGTGAAAAAAAAAAATTACTTTGTTTTTTTTACTGTATTTGACTAGATAACTCTTGATCGCTTCATTATAAGATGATGTCATGTGGAAGACAGTTTTTACTAATTAAATTTTCTTCAAGAATATTTGTTATTTTACTAGGTTATCCTCAACGGTTCAAAAGTTAGATCAATTATAACTTTAAATGTCAATCCTGAGAATTTGCAGAAAAAAATACTTTTTATAATATTCGTTGTTGTATGTATGTATATGTATATAAATTATTTTTATCTGTAAATTCTTTTTTTTTTTTATTTTTCCTACCCTCCAGGAATTTATTTACTATAAAAAATACAATATATAAATATATAAAGAGCTATATATACAAAAATTTCTAATTTCCTTTTACTGCCCAAAGGCTATGCATGCTGTATGCGTACTTTGCATCTGTGGCCAGAGGCCTTTATTATACCACTGGGTGTGGAGGGACCGCCCTGCATTAAGTCTGTAAATTCTTGGAATTGACATATAAAGTTATAATTGATCTAACTTTTTAACTATGTGAGATAAACTTATAAAATAATATATTTTCCTGAGAATGACTTTATCAAATAACGAACCAATCAAGAGTTATCTACTCAAATATAATAAATAACATGAGGTAACATTTTTTTTTTCCACATTAGTGATAGTTGAGGAGGGATATCTCGGAAACTAAGCGAGATAGTAAAAAAAAAAGGTTTAGATTCAATCATATTGCAAATTTTACCATCTTTAATTTTGAATAGAATGTCTTTGTCAATGTGATGGATAGTTTTCCTGATATAAATGAAAACCTGGAAAAAGTGACATTCTAGATGCCCCCCACATTTGGCTCACCACCTAGGAGTGGAGACTTTTAGTACGTGTACCCCATTGCTAGTCCAAATCCCCCAAAATCAAAAATTGTGTCTCCGCCATTTCCTTCTATAATCATTCATGCACTGCACTATTAGTTCTTGATTTTCATTAGATTTTTCTATATGTATATATTTTGGAAAAATATCAAACTGTTGGATCCTTTTATAGATTGATAATATACTTTAATGTTTAAGGCTCCTTCACACAGAAAGCGATATGTCCCAGCGATAGGATACCTTTAGCCGGTATCTCTGCAGATTATTGTTCTCTGTGTGGCTGTTATAATGCATAGACAGTAATACACATATATCTCCATATCATCGTCGACAGGAATGTTGCAGAGACATATCGCATTATACATGTAGGAGTCTTTATAATTTAAATTCTTGTACCTGATAAGTTTTTAAATGCAATCAGTTCTCTTTTATAGTTTTATGGTTTAATAACTATAGGTTATTTTATTACAATACATACAGAAATAAATAGAAAAAAAATTACTTTTATTATTTTATTGGAATAGATAGATGGACTGTATTATAATTAATAAAAATACAGATGACAGAATACTTGAAGAACTGGAGCCATACGGAGATGAAGTGACTGAGGAAAACTCTCCGATCCGGGAAGCATACCTCATCACAGTAGCTACATAACTCTGCTCGTGTATGCGATGAAATAGATGAGCATAAGGACCTGTGTATACAAAATTATTTATTGATTGCTCATTTAATCATTTTCAGTTATATAATATTAAAAAAAGTAATAATGAGGTAATAGTTGCAAAAAGAACATTCAAAATTTTTTACTGAGTACTCATTTATAGCTTATAATATGTTCAAAGAAACTTATTTCAGGCCAAAATAGCACTTGTGATAGGGTGTCATACTGATCATTAATTGATAGCTTTGAATAAATAAGAAGCTAAAAAGGAGTTTTCTGCAAAAACAAGCCCACAAACTCAAGTGCTCTTGTTACACATATTGCCTATACTCCTATCCATAAATATTGAGCACTTATATTTTTACCTGAAGCATAAACAAAGACATCGTTTCCACCATGTGTATTCTCATCCTGAAGTACAGCAGCTTGCTGCCCATAGTCCCAAGACATTGTGTCTACCTTTGAAGGATCTTCTCGGACAACGGTGCCATTGACTGCCGTGTAGTGATAGTTTGCTATACCCGAGTTTGCGTACCCCAGAGTGGTGTATGGCACTCCATCTACTTTTGATTTGCCTGCGAGGCCTTTAAAATTTCATGGATATTAGTAAGAGATATAAACAATGATATGAATTTATATTTTGATATTAGCTCTATCGTAGGTTTCAGTCTTAGATATAAAAGATCAAATGAAAATACCTATATTATTCTGGGATTAGTGTCTCTTTAGAATAAATTATAAATGTAGAATTAAAATAAACATAATATAATAGTGTGTCCATAACTTAAATTAAATTTTTACAAAATAATTGGTAAAATAAAGCGAAAATACAGATATTAAAGAGAAATAAAACAAACATAAATAAATATAAAATAAACAGAGAAAGATAAAATAAAATAAATACTAAATAATAGGGTATATAAAAAAAAAATGAACGTTTTCAACCAAATATTTGTATTATTATTTATTTGATATAAAATACAATTAATACTCAAAGTATAGTCCCTTGGTATCAACCATCATTAGCCATCTGCTAGCCAATTACTAATCCCATCCAGATACCATTCTTTAGGATGGCTGTCAAAGAATTCTTGGACCACAATTTCAATCTCTGCAAAATTATCAAATATTTTTCCTTGAAGAAAATGGGTACTTTTTGTCTAGCAGGCCGGACTGAAACCTCACCTCTTATCTAACATCACATCACATAACCTCCCTCTTCTTATCCCACCAAACCTTTCAGTTATTGCATTGTTTAGTTTTCAGTTATTCCCTTATTACGTTCACTTATTAAATTGTTTACTTTTGGTCCGTTTGTGTTTATTTTTTATTATTTTTAGTTTTTGACCCGTTTGTGTTTATTTCACTTTTTTTTTTAGTTTGTGGCCCCTTTGTGTTTCTTTTCGTCATATTATGGATCTTCTTAGAATATGGAATTTGACACCTTCAGAAGAACAGGCACTTCAATATTTTTAAAATGTTGGGGTACTTGCCGACGTGAGATCGAGGTCATCGAATGAAGTCAACCAGGAAGGCCAAATGGAGATGCTTTCGTAGGACTTATGACACAAAACTTTCAATAAGGAAAGGAACATGGTTGGAGGGCTCGAGGATTTCGTTTTTAACAGCTTTAAAATTGATTTATGGATGGTCCCATAGCTTGACAACGATGAAGTGGGCCAAAGAGCAGCTGAAACTATTCAACAGAGCTATGGTAACGTGGAACAAATGTCTAAGAGAGGTTTGTGCCCATGACATGTTATACAGGCCAAGAAAAAAAATTGGACGACCTGGCAAAGTGGTTGAAGTAAAAGAAAGTCTTTTTTCTAAACGAAAAAATCATGTGGGGAGAATTTTATCTCAGCAGTGGATGTTTGGTGGAGTTTGCCGATAAACAGATGAATGTTTTATCTTTTTATAAAACCGATTTCGTTTTATATTTTTCTTTTCTATGTAAATATGTTCTTTTAAATGTGTTTCTTATTATTTCATTTTGATGTTTTATATGTGCATATCTTCTTAAAGTGTTTTTTTTATTATTTCATTAATACATGTGTCGTCAAATAAAAGTATTTTTTTTGTTATTAAATTTGTTTTTGTATCTGTTTACACTTTCAATAATACGAATTTAATACAATAATACGAAGATATGAAGTAAAAGAAGGCTTATCAGTGCTTTATGGGAGTTATCAGTGTTCAGGTTATAAACATTGGCAGATAGCAGTCAGTAGCGGCCCCCTAGACGAAAAGTACCAGAAAATGGGCCATGGATCTAAATAAGTAGAAATCCGATGGTGAGAGGTCTGGACTATATGGTGGATCAGGCAGGAGTTTGAACCCATGAAGTTCTTAAAACTTTTCCTTGGTTGGACGGAAAGTGTGAGAATCAGCATTATAAAATTCCTTTTCGGTTGATCAAAGAAAGATAAAGCTCTGACAACTTTGAGTACAATCTTTCCATTTTTTTTCCAGTAATGCCTTAAAATTAAGAGAATTTCGTAAGACACTGTCATGTTTCTTTTTTGAAACAAATAACTAAACTGAGCCTTTTTTTGAAGTAGTTAAATGGGATTAGACAAGCTTATAGAATGCTCTAAAGGAGTTATTAAGTATTGGTAAGTATTAAATAGAATTAAAATATTTACAGTCCTTTAAAATCTTGAATTTGATAAAACGGTCATTTTTTTATACACCCTATTATAATAAGATTTAAACTCTTACATGCATTTCATGATCGAGTGGATTGGTAATGGAATAGGTGCATAAAGAGGTAAGATTTGAAAAAGGAGACTGACTTTGAGTGTCGAATATCGGGAGAGATAGAATTTCAGAGGGAGACGGCTTGAAATACAAAGGAATTCTCATACGCAACAGTTCGGTGGGGAAGAGGATAGAGGTCTGACATACAGGATCTGGTGGTACTGGATTGAATGGAGGATTTAAAATATAGGCTCTATAGAATATAGGAGGGTCGCTGAGATCTAATAACCTGGTATAAGGTAGCAAGGAAGTACTGACGGCGTGGGAATGGATTGAGCCACTTCAACTCGGCGTAATACTGGGTAATATGCGTATCTCTTGAGATCTCTAAAACAAAGCGTATTGAACAATTCATTAGGCGTTTAAGATTGCCTTCCAGTTCTCCCGAGTCCCCTCTACCCCATACAGCCGTAGTCGAAGTGAGGGAAAACAAGAGAGGAAACAAGGAGTTGACTGGTTCTGAATGGAAGGAAATAGCGTAGTGGGTTGAACTATTTCAGAGTGGAAATAGTACGATGGGATATGTGTGATTTTCAGGATAGAGTTAAATCAAAGATAACACCAAGGTTTTTAACAGTAGTATGGAAGAAGATAGGTGAGTTGTTCAGTAGAAGATTTAAGGTACAAAGATAGTTTGTTCTTTGACTACATACTTTTTGTATACAGTATAAGAGCTTTATTCTTTTCAAATATAATTAGTAGTATTATCCTTTTCCATGTAATTATATGTTATGTATAAATAATGCTTTATCAACCCTATTGTTGGCATAGTCCAAAAAATCTTACCCAAAATACTGTTTCCTTTATCTGCATAACCACTTATTGTCAATGTATGGGAATGGTCGCTAGTCACAATTAGCAGGGTCTCTTTTTCAATTCCGGCATCCTTGAGCAGTTTGATGGTACTGTTGACAGCATCGTTCAATCCCATAACTTCATGCAAAGCTATCCTCGCTTTACCAGCATGATGAGCAATATCAATCATTCCACTTTCAACCTAAATAAAACTAATATTATAAATAGTCAATGAAATTATTCTGTTTACAATAATAAAAGTTAAATTTACCATCAACAAAAATCCGTTTTCATTTTTCATAAGAAGCTTGACTGCAGTCGTAGTCATTAATTCTAGAGAAGGGACACCATTCTCAGACTTATCCCTTATATAGTCATAAGGAAGGTAACTATTTTGGAATAGTCCTATAAAAATAAAAAATTGTCTTGTTATTTTATAAATTATAAGAATTTCAATCAGATGATATTTTATTATTAAATGGCCAACATTTTTTTAATCCCAGCATAAATCATAGTATCTAATACTTGTCATTAGAGCTAAATTTTCAGAACCAAATTCCATGTTTAATATGTTTTTCAAGAATAAGAGTAGTATAATTTAAACACAACTCACTGGTTAAATTTATTTATCTATGGATAGCATTTATTTATCTATTTGTGGAATTATAAAGAAGAATAAATTTTGTTATGAACAAACACCAAATCATCATTAGCCAATATGTATTGAACTTGATATCAAACAAGTATCATTTTAATAGCATTCATCAGGATCAGTGATTATTTACTTATAAAGTTATGGATTCATAAATAGGATTAAGTTCCATGTTCCTAAATAAAACATTCAGGGAACTTTTTATTAATTTTTGAACCATTATATGAATCATTGAACCAATAATAAATGGCTATCTGAATCTGGGAAGACACTAGATATTAGTGATTTGGATTTCAGTATTTTAAGTTAATATATTTTAAGTTAATATATGATGTAATAAATATATTTATTAACTCATAATTTCTTTTTTAATTTTTATATTTCCTCATAACCTTGCCAATATGTGAAGTTTTAGAATACAAAAAATTGTAAATTTATAGTGTTTTTATATCTAATTTAATGCTTCAGGGATGCTTTGTCTCCTTTTTCAGCGTTTGATGTGTTCCATTATTGGGTGAGTACCAGAATAAGTCTATTGACCAAATGTATTCTTAGATTGGCTCAATACTTGGGCACATTATGAGCTGAAAGGGGGACACAAGACCATCCCCAAAACGTCCAAATGAGAGATAAAAACATTATAAATTACAGGTGTTTATTTTCTTAAATTTGAACTATAAGAAATTTTGCGAATAAATAGTAAATATTCTCTTATTAACAGTACTTGTGACTTAGCAGGTCGCCAAGGAACCTACCTCCTTATCTGGTGTAACCTCTTCTTATCACTCGTCTCAGCTTAGTTACTTGTGTGTTAAAGGGACCCTACACGGTCAATCGGAATTGCACTAATGACGTTCCGAATTGTCGTGTAAGGTAGTGAATGAAGTACTGATGGTGGTGCGCTGCGGATTTCCGAACATCCGGACATCAAAGGTTCATTCACGAGAAGTGATAGGTTAGGTTACCTAGGCCTCACAACCATTATAAATTTCTAATTTTCATTATATGTAAATAGTTAAATAATTTTTCATATCCCTTGTTTATAATTTTAAACCATCTTCAACTATTTCTTTTAAATAGTCAAGTGGGCAACAAATTAAAAAAAAAAAATGAGGAAACTTCACAATTTACTTGAGGAAAAAAAAACTTTAACGTTGTGTATATTTATCAGTTATTTTCCCATTTTCCTCAACAAATTTATTATTTTCGCAATACCTTTCCTTAATTTTTGTAAGTAGTAGACTTATATTTTACTAACTTTTGTCAAAACGATTTTCTATGAGACTAACCTTACTACTAGATAGGTTAGTTTACCTAAGTCTCGTTATTAAGTAAATAATTTCATAAAAGTAAATAGTTGTTTATATCTCTATTCTATGTTATTATTAACCATTTTCAACTATTTTTTCTTTAAAAAGTCAAGTAGACAATAAATTGGAGAGAAAAAAAAGTGGAAACTTCACATAAGTAATGATCAGTAATGACTGAACGTGTAAGGGTCTTCATGATCAAAGCGATAGCGGGCAATCTTTGAACTTCTTGTGACGTTCATTCATGAATTACCGTGTAGGGTCCCCTTTATATACAAGCAACTAAAAAAAAAATGGAAGGCTTAAAGGAAAAGAGGTTAAAATAGAAGAAAGTATTTTTTCTAAAATAAATAATCATGTAATAATGTTGGAAAAGTGCTGTCGAAAAATAACCGAGTGTTTCATTGTTAAAATAAAAGACAGAAAAGTAACAATTCTATAAGAATGTATTAAAAATAAAATAGAAGAGAGAACCACTTTATATTCTGACTGTTGGTAAGGATACAACACCCAACAAACTGGGGTTCTATCTCCCCTCCTCCCAAGATATTTCATTGCTCATCTTTTCTTGAAAACAGAGCAAGAGAAAGTAGAGTTAGAAAAATCATAGATCATATACATTTATACTTTTGTTTTTGGGTCCTCCCCTTCTGATAGCATTTCCTGTATTTTCATCTTCATCCTTCTATCAAGTATTGTCATTGAGCTTTCTGGGAATTCCCAATTCAAGCATTTTATTCAGTAATTCTTCTCTATCAATACTGTGGTATGCCTGCGTAAAGTTGATAAATATAAGCGAACACTCGCTGTCCTAATAAACCTTCTCTCTATCTCTCTTCCTATTGTCTGGTAAGTTTAAAAATTATAATCATTGTTGATCATGGAAGAATCATTGTTGAAAACTACTAAATCCTGGTGGGCAGAGAAGAATACTCTGAATTTTAGAGTGGTCGACACGGTTCTTCCTCCAGTAGACACCTCTGGATGACATGGTAAGAGCTGTTTCTGTAACTTCAGAACCTATTCTGCAAATTATATATATGCTAATAAATAAAGTAAATATAGGAACTAACCAAAAAGATAATCGGTCTGGGATACATCAACATTCAACAAATCTCTGGTGTTGTTGGGCAGAGCGTAGCGCGCTCCCCAAGACTTTTTCTCTTCTGCCCACTCTGCAATCAGGTCTCGTCCGTCTGTTCTTACGCATGAGTCGAACATTACAATCGGATCCTGTGGTAAATCAGGAGAATTCGCTTGCATAAGCTGACGTCCGCCGCCCATGATCACCTGAGGAACGAAAATGCTGTTAATTCTTATTTATTTTGAGATACTAGGAAATTTTGTAGGTGATCGCCTATCTTAGAATCAAGATTAGAAGAAGTTTCAACATGATACCTCATTTGGACTGTTTGAGAAGTAGGTAAAAAAATGGAATAAACGTTATCACTGGACAAGGGACCTTCTGAGCTCTTTCAAATTGGAAAGAGTATCGATTATCTATGGCCACAGTTGCTGCGTACCAGAGACTGGCGCGAATATTATCTCAGTCTGTATTGCCTGTAAGGCACTGAGAGCCAAATAGCTGAGTGAAACGGGTTTCTATGTTTTAACAAAGAGAGATTTCTCTCAACCAATAAGTAAAACTACACGTACTTCAAGACTTTACAGTGGGTATGGAAAACAATTATTGGTCTAACTCGTTTCTTCTTGAGAAGAAAGGCTGCTCTAGGAAGGTCATCTGACAGAAGAAGAAGTTGGCGAAACTTAACTAAACACGAACAAGCTATGTACACTGTTGAAGAACATCCTAAAAAAGTAATTCTTAGTAAGCAGTATTATTAAGCAAGCAGGCGTAATAGACACTGCTGCTAATACGCTTATTATCCATCAAGTACAGCCAAATTGTAAATAAATAAAAAACTAGATAATTTTTCATTTTGAGGACAAATTTGATTAATAATTTGAAGCAAAGCTTCCCTACCTTATAGTCAGTGGTACAGACACATTGTTAAAATAAAATTATTAACATCCGAATGAAACTTCATGAATAGCTTCATCTCATCGTAACTTACAAATATTTCATTTACGAAAACTCTTGGAATTGGGGCGTTTTCAACCAGGAGATCGGCAAACTTTGTATATTTAATTAGGTACTAAAATCTCGTAAATACCCATTTGCTTTCCACTTGGATCCTAAGATAATTTGATCATAAAATCGAGGAAAAAGGTTTCCTAGAAAAATTTTGGTCCGTTTGGCCTATATAACCTCGTTATTTTTAGATTTTAGGGGTATAGGTCACGCCAAACGAGTCAATATTTGTAAAGGCCACCTTTTTTTGTTCTGTGCTCAAATTATGTTACGATTCAAGTGGAAAGCTAATGGGTTTTTACCTCCCATTCCAAGAGTTTCCGAAAATAAAATAGTTGTAGATTACAATGAGATGAAGCTATTTACGAAGTTTCAGAATGATCTTAATAATTTGATAAAATGGAGTATGAATCACGGACTATTAGGCATTGCGGAAGTAAATTTGAATATTGTTATAGACCCTTCGTATTTCGTTTTCCTCCTAACTATAGTATCTATATCCACAAACAATTATTTGGCTACAGGTTACCGAAAAAACAAATTAGATGAGCTTACATTGAACTTTTTTCCTGGTAGATCTTCAACCAACTGCCGACCGATGTCTTTGCAGTTCGATGCATCAGGAGGCAGGCTGGAATCGCATTCCCAGTCCCTGTCAGCAGAGTGTGCAAAAAAACCTGCTGGAGTCGCGTGCGTGACTCGAGTCGTTGTGATGAAGCCTATAATTTAAAAATTAGTCATTTTAATTATAATCTTTATTTATTTATTAACCAAACAAAAATGTGGAACATTAGATTAAATTTGCAATCTGCAAATTTCTTTGCAATAAGCAAATTTTTTAGCAGCTTCACAGCTTCCCATCACGTCCGGGATATAAATTAGATCAGCAGGTCTCTTGGCCAACGCCTACGTAATCGTCGTAGTGGGCTGTACGGGTTTCTTGTACGATGAAGAATTTCTGTCAGGGGATTCATGTTGTACGTCAGTCTTTGGTGAAAGTTATTTTAGTTCTATTTTGCAGTATCTAAAATTGTAGGTACGTTTAAGTCTTTATATAGTGTATCATTTGCGACATAAAACGGTGCGTCAACTATCCTTCGCAACACTTTTGACTGAACTTTTTTAATGTTGGAAGTTTTAGCAGAACCCCACAGTTCTATGCCGTAAGTCCAAATAGGTTTAAGTAAGACTTTATAAAGAGTTAGTTTGTTAGTTAAAGATAATTTTGAACGTCTGTCAAGTAATCTGGATAAGAGACCTGTTTAATCGTTTATCGTCTGTTTAATTCTATTCTTAATTAATTCTAATAATTACAATCTAAAGTAATTTAGTGATATAAGAAATGTAAAATTAATTTACCCGTAGACTTTCCGGCTTCCTGAGCAGAGGTTGCAACTGATATAAGTTTGTTTTCTTCTACAAGACTAGCTTCACAGTCGTACCTCTTTACGTTGCTGTCGACCCCCACAGTTCCGTAATTAGTTTTCGTGCCAGTAAATAAGGCAGTTGCAGTGTTGGCAGAATCAGGGACTTGTTTATCTGCAGCGTATGTCTAAAAATTTTACAGGTTAGGAAGTATAGATTAAACAAACCATAAATATTTTTTTTAAAAATTAATTTCTTTTGTCTATGAAATTTAAATATTGTTTGCCATATATGTAGATAGATTTTAATTAGAGTAGTAAGATCAAAGAAGAAATACTCCGATAATTTTTTTTATTTTATTTTTTTTTATTGATGATATTTACAACTGTATTAGAAGTAAAAATACATTCAGTAAATGTGAACAAAGGAATAAAATAGCATGAAATCACATGTTGAGAAACTACCCATTGGTAGCACTCTAAAAATGTATTTACAAAAGGAGATCTCGAGGCCATCTTCTTTTCAGACGCCTCTGAGGGTTGTCAGGGATTGAAGAGGAAGCAAGGTTAGAAACGATAGGGTTCGGATGGTTCTGAAGTTTGTTATGGAAGGATAGGTATCTGGATTGGGCCATGTCAGAAACATAAGGAACACTAAGGTCGTCATGGATGATTTTGTTTGTGACAAAGTAAGGAGCAGTGAGGATTTTACGAAGGATTTTGGATTGTAAGGATTGGATACGAGAGGAATTCGATGGCTTAGTGGAGCCCCAGAGCTCAACTCCGTAAGTCCAAATAGGTCTTATTGTAGTCATGTATATAAGTCTTTTGTAATTGACTGGGAGGTTAGAGCGTTTGTCTAGTAAGTGCTGGTGTAGTCGGAAACGTCGAGCTGTTTCTTGTCGTTTCAGTCTGTTATGAGGATTCCAAGTTAGACGGTTGTCTAAGTGGAGTCCAAGGTATAGAATTTGTTCAACAGGGATAAGTGGGGTATTATTAAAGGATACTGTAGGACAAGAGGACATAGGTTTAGCCGATAAATTTAAAATTACGTGTGCTAACGTTTTGTAACTAGTGTTGTCCAAATGTGAGACCGAGACGAGTCTTGGTCTTGCAAACTTAGTCTTGGTCATGTTCTTGGTCTTGCGCAAAAGTCTCGCAAGAGTCTTGAAGTTACTTATCAGTTTATTATTATGGTGATATTACTGTAATTTTTTAGATAGGAGAAACTTAACTGAGCCTGAATGAAAAATTAGAGGAGTTAAATGCAAAAGAACATTGGTTACACCAATTATTAACATATAGTAATTAAGATTGTCAAGTATTAGTAACTATTTTGCCTTAATTTTTATTTTAAAAATCGATTTTTTTTTTACCAGTCCTGGTGATGGTCTTACAAAGTGTTGTTACACTATTTGTAACATAGTTGCCGAAGTATTTGTAAGCCTTCATCCGAGCGACGAGTTCAGAATCCCAGATCAAGTCGCCATTTAATAGATTGGAAAGGGTGAGACCGATTGAAGAAGTGAATATATTGAACAAATTCGCAAATTTTCAAATTTAATAAGAATTTTTTTTAACTTATAAGGAAAGAGATGATAATTCAAGATTATGGCGTTTGGATAATGTTTTTGAGAAAATTATTGATAAATTCAGGTGGAAGCAGAGGTGCTCAGAAGGGGATTTCACGGCGCAAGTTAAGATTTTTCTAATTCCATCTTAGCTTGCTCTGTTTTTAAGCAAAGATGAGTAATAAAATAACTTGGGTGGAGGGTAGGTTCTTGTGCCATCGACCTCTTAGGGGAAGAATTGGCTGTGGAAGGGGACAGGCACGACATTTGAGAAGTAAAATTAGTCGTTTTAAACTGAAAAAGTGATTCTAGGGACGCAAAGGTGCTCTTCTCTCTCCCATAGTCGATGACGCATGAACCTTCTCCCACCATTCCCAAGATATCTTATTACTGTCCTCTTCTTCAAAAACAGTGCAGGCAAAAGTAGAATTTAGAAACCGTAGATTATATACAATTACAAATGCTGCAGTTTGTTTTATCATTCATCTTACTTTCTGGTTTGAAACTTTACAATTCGAGAATCCTGTCGAAACGTGTCCCCCTCAAAGATTTAATACCCCGTCAAAATGTGCCCCCTCAAAATCGCATACTGAGCACCACTGCCCAAGACGTCACATTATGTAGGAGGTGATGTTACTTGCAGTAATATGAATATCATAGAAGAGGAATAAAAGTAAATTTTATTCTGGGACAGTAAGTCCCCTCAGAATCACTTCAATGTACGATGTAATGACAGTCGTCTGACATTAGGAATACATTAAATTATAAAGTTATCTAGATCTAAAATTAAAATAAAGAAAAGGCATTAGTAGACGTATGTAATTATATATAAATCCAGATGTGCGAGTTCTCGTATTTGTGGACATAAACAATGTGGGTGATATGTAATTATCTGTAGGATAACGTTAAATGCGACTGAAAGCTCTGAAAAACGTAAAAATTATTTTACGCAAATTCGGAAGATTTATTGCTGAGCACTAGCGGATCCAGGATTTAATTTTTTTTTTTGGGGGGGGGGCTTCAGCCCGAAAGATTTTTTTTCATATACATACAACGATAATTAATTTGAAAAAAAAAGAATAAAATTAACTACCTATATGAAATGGTGTTTAAGTGGTTCCTGAAGTCCTATTCAATGTAAGTACAGAAACAGGAATACTTTAAGAGATAGTTTTTAATATTTTTTTCTGTAAAACATAGTTATATTTTACCATTTTGGAGGGGGGCTTCAGCCCGAAAGCCTCCCCCCCCCCCGTAGATTCGCCCGTGCTGAGATCTAGAGTGAAACGAATGGACAGAGGAACAAGAAGTAAACAAATCGAGAAGGTAAGAGAGTTTTTTAGTTGAAAAAGGAATACTCCTAGGAATACGTAGGAAAAAAAGGAATCATAGTTTTACAAATGTGCAATTCGGAATTATCCCACCATTAAACCTTGTGGTAGATCCAGAATACAAACATACACAAACACCAGATTCATGGAATACAGCGAAACAAGGTTTAAGACAGATAAAGAAATAATACAGAATAGTCCTTATATGTATTATGTCCTTATATGTATATGTATTATATAATTATTAATACGTTTTATTGATAATTATAATATTAATATGTTTTAGTACCTTGATAGCTCCAAGGTGAGGGAATCTTTCCCAGGACAGGTATCCACTTTCGCTTTCGCTATAGATTCTTGCTGCGGTGACGGTATTCGGACCCATTCCGTCACCGATGAAGATGATGACGTTTTTAGCGATGTTGGTGTTGTATGCAACATCCAAGCTTTCGTGAAGATCATTCAAATCGGACTCCTTCCAGTAATTTTTGTCTTTGGTAAAGAAAAACAACATTATTTCATGATGAAGTACAAATAGTTAGAAACTAAAAACCAGTAATCTATTATTTTTTTATTAATGATAATATAAAAAAAAAAAAAAAGATAAAAGTTCTTCAAGCCAAACAAAAATCATGGCAAGAGTTTGGTCACAAACTGGAGAAAAATGCAAAAGAGAACCAACAGATCTACAAAGTCATATAAAGAATGAGGAAGGAAAGGCCCAATTCCCTCAAAGGAATCAAGGATAAAGAAGGAAGAATTTTATTGCTGGAAGAAGATATAATGGAAAGATGGAGAGAGTACTTCAAGGAGCTGCTAGAAGGGAGAAACGTTAATCTATATGAGAACCACAATGCGGAGACGGAGTATTCGGAAGATGATTTTATCAGCGAGGAAGAACTGAAGGAAGCTATCTCTAAGATGAAGCTGGGCAAGTCTGCAGGGCTTGATGAAATAACTCTCGAAATGATGCGGTTCATGGGCAGTAAATGTGAAGAAATGTTTCTCCATCTCTTAAATGTTATCCAAATCTTAAATTAAATAAGTACATTAAAATATAAACAGAGTAAGCTAACTAACAAGATCCTAAACTGAAGTTAATAGGTGGTAACATTGTTGTATTGTAATATATAATATATGCAAATGTGAATATACTTCTACAGATCTACAGGAGAGATTGGAAAAAAAGAAAAAAAGGATATAATATGTAATAATAGACATAAAGAAATGTGGAGACAGAAAAGAAAAAAGAAAACTAAAAATAAATAAATAAGTATATAAAATTAGAAGAATAAAAATAGAGAATTACAGGTGTGTTCTGCTAGGAGTTTCAATTAGAACTCTAAAATCAGGGTAAGGATAGGTATTGGGGAAATTTGCTGACCGGTTTGGGTAATGGGAAAAAAAATATTAAAAAACCTGGAAAATTACTGGAAATTAAATTAACCTGGAAACGTTGGCTTTTAATAAAATAGTTTTGCCACTATTTAACCTTTTTATGGCCATCTCCTTCCTTTATAATCCAACGGTCAACAATTAAATATTCAATTTTTTTCTTTTTTATCTAGGTGTATATAATATTTATGTAAAATATTTTATGAACGTTCGACAAACAAAGAAACACAATGTATCCACAATATAAATTTACTCATTATAAGGTAATCCAGATTTATTACCTCCTTGACGGGTTTATTGCAAAGTGTAAACATTGCATAGCAGTAAGAATTATTCATGTTTCTGTGATAATGAAATCTCGCTGGAGGCCTCAAAACGTATCATTGACTTCTACCATTTCAATTTTCATTCATCAGTATCATAGTGATTGTTTCAACCTAGCTTATTATTTATTTTAGTATAAGTAAATTTCATCGAAAGAATAAACTCGTTAAGAGATATATTAAGTTATGAATGAAGATATTTTAAATTCAAATGTCTCGGGTAAGATGAGCAGACGTCCCGCTTTTGGCGGGAGAATCCCGATTTTTAATATTTTGTTATGCGTCCCGCTGCACTTTAAAAATGTCCTGATTTCTGGAAAGATTGCACGACAAGCTAGAAAATGGCAGAAGAACGGGAAGAGAATATACGGTTTTCGGCGTCCCTGTGGCTATTTCGCCAGGATTAGAGTTTTATATTATTTTTTAAAAACATTAATAATAAAGAATAACTAGTTGGCCCGTGCTAATAATTCGTAGAAAATTTTGTTTAGTGAAGAAATAGCAAAAAAATATTGAAATAAGTAGTTTCTATGTATTATGTAAGGAAGGAATTTATATTTTTTCCTTGGTCGATTACAATATTCCATTAATGATAATAGACAAAAATATTTCTGCAAATTGCTTTGTTAGGACCTATTTTTAAACGTTGACTGGAAAGTCAAAGAAGGAAGGAAAGAAACGCAAATAAAGTTTCTTTTCCTTCATAACCTTTTTTTCAGTAATTTCGAGGGGATAAGACAACTTTTTGCATGTGAAGGATCTTCAAATATCTTCAAAATGAGTAATCAATCATTGAATTTGATGAAGAATTGACGAAGTTATGGCTTATCGAAAAAAAAATAAAATGCCTTTTAGAAATAATAAGGAGGTTGTTGACAACTGATTATCCAAAACTGCTTATCAAAGTTCGCATTGTTGATCAGTTATTAGAATTCAACCACTATTGTTTGGAGTTAATAAACCATCTGAAAAAGATATTTTTAATAAGGTATCATGATTAAAAAATATATTGATGAGGAAAAGGATAAATCTTGAGCATGAGTAAGTTAACTTCATTTGCTACTTCGATTACCGAAGTTAAGTCATCTTCAATAAGTTTGAAAATTTTGAGAGGGGCGTATTTTGATAGGTTTTTGAATTTTTGAGGAGAGAAAATTTCAATGGGATTATGAGTTTTTGGACTAAGGGACGACAAAACTAAACATGGAACAGACAGCAGCAAGTGTAATTGTATATTGTCTACGATTTTTCTAATTTTGCTCTGTTTTTAAGAATCGGTGAGCAATAAAATATCTTGGGATGAGGGAGAGTAGATTCTTGCGTCATCGACCATGGGGGGGATGGGTAGCCCTGATTGAAGTCATAAACTAGACGTTAAAAACATCAAATTATTCGCTCTCAAAAATATGCCTTCAAGACTAAAGGATCAACATTATAATTTTTATTTTTATTGTTCTTCCCTACCTCGCCTTTTAGGCTATACGGGATTTTCGGAGTTGAGCTTTGGTGCTTCATTAAACCATCGAATTCCTCTCGTATCGAATCCTTACAATCCAAAGTCCTTCTTAATGTCCTCAATGCTCCTTACTTTGTTACAAAAAATCAGATACCTACTCTCCCATAATAAACTTGAGAACCACCCGAACCATCTCGTTTCTAACCTTCCCCTTCGATCCCTGATAATCCTCCGAGACGTCTGAAAAGAAGATGGCCTTGGGATCTCTTAATCTAGAAATCTTATTACAGTGGTATCAGTGTAATTTCCCTGTAATATTCTTAATCTCATTATATTTTCCCGGTCATATTTATTAGATGTGTTCTTATTTTAATACAGTTCTAAATATCATTAATAAAAAAAATTACTCCTTCACAAGTTGCACAACAAATCAAACAATTACCTAAAAGAAAAGCGGCAGGTTATGATTTGCGCCGAGGCACTCCAGCAAATGCCCAGGAAAGCAGTAGTGTTCTTTACTACAATTTACAACTGTATCCTGAGGAAAACTAAATTTCCACTACAATGGAAATATTCGCATATTAAAATATACACAAAAGGGACAAAGACATTTACAATCCTTCATCCTACCGACCTATTAGTCTCCAAAGTTTTCGAAAAATTAATGTACAAAAGATTGATTGACCAACAGACCAAAAAATAATTCCTGACCATCAATTCGGCTTTCGAACATTTCATTCAACTACACACCAATTACACAGAATTACAGACTACATTGTTGGAGCAGTAGAGCAAAAATAATATGCAACCGGCGTATTTCTGGATGTTGCCCAGGCATTTGATAAAGTCTGGCACCAGGAACATTTCTTTAAACTCAAAACTATACTACCTCATACATACTATCTAATTATTCAGTCTTTCCTTTTCGATAGGTTTTTCTCTGTCCGACAGAGTTTAGAAATTTCCTCAATTCGACCAGTGTCAGCAGGGGTACCTCAGGGATCAATATTGGCACCTTTACTCTACATTGTCTCTACGCATGACATGCCTACCACCTCCGAAACATTGATTGCTACATACGCTGACGATAAAACAATTTTTAAAAAAACACCATAACTCCAGGCTAGCCTCACTGAATTTACAAAACCATTTACTACATTTACAAAATATGTATTCACTTTGGAAAATTAGATTAAATCATGACAAATCACAACATTTACACTTCGACAAATGCCCACCAGATTATATCGGCGACAACCAAATTCCTCAGACTGACACTGTACGTTATCTCGGGCTATTATTCGACAGAAGGATAATCTGGGACCCACATGTCAAAATGAAACGAAAGACTTTGAACAAACGACTGAAAATATTATACTCCCTTTTTTCCAAATCATAATTGATAATCAGACAAAAACCAAATACGTACACTCACCTACTCAAACCCATATGGACATACGCCACACAAATTTACGGTTCTGCAAAAAAGACGCACTTACAAAAACTACAATCATTTCAATCCAAAATTTTAAGAATAATAACAGCAGCTCCCTGGTACGTAAACAACAAAACTTTACATACTGACTTAGAACAACCAACTATCGACCAACACATAGGTACTCTCTACTCTCGATTTCATCTTAAACTACATGGATACCACAACGGACTTATCTACGACATGGCAACAGCTGACATGTCCATTAGGAGACGATTAAAGAGGAGCTGGATGAGAGATCGCCTTTCCTAAATTATGAAGTAGATCAAGACCAGAAAGAGGTACTGCTGGGTACTAATCTACCTCATGCCTTAAATTCTAACTTTCTTCACAATGAGATCACATCTGCTTATTGTCAATATTATGACAGATGTGGATAGAAGTATGAAGAGAGGAAAAAAAAAATCTTTCTTGAGCGAATCTTTCAAAAGTAAAAATATCTGGTACTAATTAATAAAAAAATGGAAAGATTACCTATTTCTGTTAACCCATACGTGAACCGGAATAATAAGCATAATAAGAAGATGGACATCTTGTAAGATCGTAGGATGTGGAAGGAGTACCGGACCTGGTTGTTTAATGATATCTTATAGTGGCACCCCACTTGTTTAGATATCTTATAGTGGCACCCCACTTGAAGGGATCAAACCTGTCAGATTGTTTACTCGTGATGTGAGTAGCAATTAACGTGTAAGGCTATTTTGTGCTAGACGTTGTAAAATTATACATTTTTTATTTTTGCTTATTACGTTCATTTCAAGGACAAAGGACACTCAAATTTATTCGGTTAAGCGGTTAATTTTAAATAATCGTACAGTTAACCAAAAAATGTATACTTGTTGAGTTATTTACAAATTCCTTTTTTTTTTTAATAATCATTTTATTGGAAGAATAACAATACAATCTGCCACAATCAAGGGGATTGGGTATTAAGGCTCTATGTGTGCATTCATAATATTATATAAAAATTGAGAAATAAGAAGAAAACATCGAAGTAAAAAATGTATAAAATAAAATAATAACTAAAATATAAGATACTTGTAAAAAGAAAAAGGAGAAAAAAATGCATTAAAAGGATAATAAAAAGAAAAAAATACTTATCACGCTTATTCCTATATACAATATTTACATTCAGCCTGGGTAACCCCGAACTATGCTTTGCCACTCTCACATGAGAGGGGCTTCTCTCCCAGTCGTATCACTGTTTGAAAGTCAGTGGAGACTGAGTGAGATCGCTAAAGCCATATACAGTCAGGACTTGAGCGGAGAAGCTGGCCACTGCCAGAACTCCAGTGGCGTATTTACAAAAGGTCTCGGGGCCATTGCCGTTTCAACCTTCGTGGGAGATTATATGGATGGTTGGAGCTGGAGATGGATTAGGATGATAGATACATTTTTGATGGAAGTTTAAGAATCTGGATGGAGGTCAAGGACAAATAGGATGTTGAGATCATGTGCGGGGTGGCCGAATAGGCTAAAGCGTGTGTAACAGCACCGCTAGTTGCCTGGCAACCGGATAACAGAGAGTTGAGATGATACAAAAAGTACGAGTTCGCGTCCCGGTGCCGGAGGGGATTTTAAATTCCCCGCCCTCACCCCTCGGCCCGGGAAAATCCCGTATAGCCTAAAAGGCGAGGTAGGGAAGAACAAAATAATAAAAAAAAAAAAAAATAAAAAAAAAAATAAATAAAAAAAAAAATAAAATGATGTAGAATTTTATTTGTGACCTAGTATGGAGCACCAACTTTTGTTCGGAGGACTTTGGATCGAAAGGATTGGATGCATAAGTTCAGATAGACTTCAATGTGGTCTTTTATATTAGCACGGATCTAGAAAATAGAAATAGAAAATAGAAAATAGAAAATAACTTTATTCTGGGACAAAGTTCCTTTAGAATAACAAAATAGAACATAATTAAAATACTACGTCTGGCCAAAATAAACAATAATAAAAAAAGAGAAAGTAAAGAAAATTAAAGAAAAGAAAAGATCTACGGGGGCTTTTGGGCTAAAGCCCCTCTCCTCCCTCAAATGGTAAAATATAACCATGTTATATGAAAAAAATTATCTTTAAAAGAATTATTGTTCGTCTAATTACAGTCAATAGGACTTCCACAATCACTTCAAGACCATTTCATATAGGTAGTTAGTTTCTTTCTTTCTTCCGAAGTCATTATCCTAATATATTTGTACAAAAAAAAAATCTTTCGAGCTGAAGCCCCCTCCCCCTCCAAAATTAAATCCTGGATCCGTTAGTGGTAATGAGCTATTATTCAAAATTGTATCTCAACCGGACGCTGTGTTATAGAGGTTGTAAGGAAAAAAATACTACCGAAAACCAAATTATAACGAGTTTTCAATTACATTCACTAGCGGATCCTAGATTTAATTTTGGGAGGGATTCAGCCCGAAAGCTTTTTTCATATATATATATATATATATATATATATATATATATATATATATATATATATATATATAATGATAATTAATTTTGAAAAAAAAAAGAAACAAATTAATTACCTGTATAAAATGGTGTTTAAGTGATTCTTGAAGTCCTATTAAATTTAATTAAACGAACAAGAATACTTTTAGAGATAATTGTTAATACTTTTTTTTGTAAAACATATTTTACCATTTTGTGTAGGGAGAGAGGGACTTCAGCCCGAAAGCCCTCTCCCTCCCTTTAGATCCGCCTGTTATTACATATAAATAAATTATAACGAAATAAATTGATACATACTTGAGTATCTGTTTACCTAACATCCCTCCAAATTTGAGCCAAATTAAACGTGCAGATTTAGAGATATAGACGTATCAAGGAAAACAAATTTACGCATATATAAGAAAACGTAGAGGAAGGAATTCAATGAAATTGATACTACATTAATTTTTTTACTGATTCATACTTGTTGTCCAAATTTGAGCCAAATCAAACGAGTCGTTTCTGAAATATTGGTATATATACAAAAAAAAAAAAATGTTTGCGCGTGTGTAAGCGAAAGTGCTGGATGAAATTGATCTTGGACCATCTAGACATAAACCCGCACAATCCCTGAAAATTTCATGAAAATCGGATAAACGGTAGTAGATGATATGCGTTACATCGATTTGGCTACAGACAAACAGACACCGAATCAAATTTGATCCTTGATGTCTGAACATAAAACGCGAATGCAAATTTTCAATTATTAGCAAATTTTTTTAAATCTTAAGCACGAATACAAAGATTTCCTAATTTTGCTAGTAAGGAAGAAAATATTGGATGTACCTGAATTTGATCAGAAAATATCGATTTCTGATTAATTACTAGTTGAAAAAATAAGACATACACATAATTTAAATTTTTTATACATACAAATTTTCATTGGTGTCTTGAACGTTTTCAAGATTCTTCAAATCTTGGCCTTTTCCTAGATTGAATTAATTGAATTTCAGGATCTTTTCCATTATGAAAGTTTTAAAAGTAGGGCAAATATTTAATTTAAACTAAAAGGATTCCGGGATCAAACCATCTAAACTTTGACTATTTTGATAAAGAATGAGATGATAAACTGGATCTTTTGATATTATTTTTGAAGGATCTAGACGGCTTTGAAACAAACACATCTAATATATCATTTCTGGCATTAAAAAGTTATGAAAAATAAGAGAAAAAAAATTGGTGTAACCGGTTTTGAAACCAAACGTCTCAACTAATCCAGTTTTATTCAAATTCAAATAGTGATTTAACAAGACCGCGAAAAAAGGTTTGATTGAAGCTGATTGGAATATAAATAAATTAGAACGATGTATGAAAAAATATTCATGTTATTATATATTTTAAACATTATTTATTTATTTATTTTAAAAATTAATATTTGTATTTATAAGTACATGTATTTTAAATCAACCTGCTTGAAAATATATTAATCATATACCATTCAAGTTGTTTATTCATTTAAATAAAATTTGTAAATAGTTATTCTGTGTTAAAAAAATAAAATAACTGAATCGAAATATATTATTCAAAATTTTAACTATTATTTTATTTTAAATGACAAATAGTATTAATTGTTGATAGTTTAATTTTTGAGAACACATTTTAGTTTTTAAACTGATTTTACTTTTATTAAGTTTAATTATTTAATTTTTAAATTTTAAAAGGTAATTATCGTTAGATTACGAACCAAATTGAATAAAATTATCAACAATATTTTATTTTTTCATGGGATTGCCCACGCAGTTGGCAATATTGTTCTTTCTCGCTGGAGCCGATAAATTCAATTACTAAGTAATGCTCTACAATCAAATTACTTTTTTCAGACAATTTGATTTCCGCGCTAAAACACCGTTTCAGTTAGTAGTGACGAAATCTTGTATGTGTCAAGTGTTAAAGAATTCGGAGTGATTTATAGTTATTTAATCGGTTGTGAATTTTAACGAAATTTTTCTTTTTGATGTTCCTGTGAATTCAATATGGTGGTAACATATCCCCCACATCCTTTCCCTTTTTTCATTAACTATCAAATTAACCTTTAACATTTTAAATCATCACTTCAAGCATTTATTAGATTTTGAAATATATTGTATATATTATTGTTAATATTTCTATATATTAAAATATGTCTGTATTTTCCATGTAGGTATCTACACATTAAAATTAATATTTTTTTAGTTTTTTAATAACATTATCAGAATACAGAGACAATTTTTTACATACAATACACAAATAAAATACAGGAACTATAAAAGAATTTAATATGAAAGGGGTGATAATATTTTATTTTTTTTTGTTTTTCCTTTCGCTTTAGGCCAGAATGTTTCATTTAATTTGATTTTTTTAATGAAATGACCATTCAATCAATAGCAGCAAACAATGGTAAGTATTTAGTAAATGCCAACTCTTTGAGCCATGTTGTACGTTTTCAACAGGGTTGGAACAAAGAGATAATTACCATTAACTCACCAATTACCATAAATGAAAATGCCATAAGATAAAAAAAGCACCAGAAAAGTAATGTCTCTGGAGATTGACAAAGTCTGTAAGGTTAGACAGAATAAATTAACATATACAGAAAAGAAAAGTTTTCATGCTTTATACCTAAAAAAAGCACCAATTATTTAAAGGCAATAACTAATTAATTTTCTTCTGCCAGAACCATAAACTTCCTTGATTAAACACTCAAGACTTATGTATACTTTATTTTTTTATCCAGAACTTTGTAATAAAAATAAAACATTTATTTCATCTTCTGTCTAGCTGTATCACAATTATATTTAGTGAATATAACTTTTAATAATAGTAGTAATTATTAATAATCAGTATTTTTGTCGCTGATAGTAAAAAAATTCAAGTTTTCAAGTTTTTCTACAAAAAAACAGAAACTTCACATTGCATTATATTATTGTACTGTTGAATCAAGTATTTTCTGTGATATTAAATGTATTTTTTTTTAAATATTCAACTCTATTTTATATTTTTTCATCGTTCAATGAAAAGTTAATTTTAATTTATGAAAAAAAAAGAAGAATGAAACTAAAATTAAAGTATTATTGTAAGACTCCTACACAAAGAGATAGGTTGACACCTACTCATCTCCTTGTTGCGGCCCTAATGAAGAAC